ACAAGTGGCCTCCCAACAACTTACTGAATTTTTAAACAATGGAATAATTCTTTTGATATGTTCCAGTCTGGGTTTAGACCCCACCCACAGCCTGAGAACGCTCTTTAGTGAAGGTAAACAAACGACATGTCGACTTCAACTGATGCAGGTAAAGTCACAGTTTGGTCATGTTAGATCTTAGTGTCCGCGTTCGACACTGTCGACAATGAGATCCTCATGCAGAGACTGGAGGACTGGGTGGTGTCACTGGCACAGCCTAGACTGGTTTAGGGTTTACCTGGAGGATAGAAGTACTTGTGGAGATTGGAGACTGGTCTCAGGGATGATGTGGCCCTGACCTGTCGGTGTACCACATGGGGCGTCTGGTCGATCCTGGGGACCTCTCCTAATTTCATCTCTACATGCTGCCGTCTAGGTCAGTTAATACAAAGAAAAAAGTTTCCTACCACAATTACGCTGACGGACACTCAGATCTATGTCTCACTGACTGCAGGGAAAATGGACCATGGATTTGCTCCGTTCACTCGTATCCAACAGTTCAGTGACTGGATGCAAAATAAATTCCTCCAGCTGAAATGCAGACAAAACCGAAATCATTGTCTTTGGTCCCAGAAACAAAGAAGAGGGCGTCATTTGTCAACTCCAGTCTCTCTCCCTACTTCCTTTCAGACAAGGGTCAGAAATTTGGGGGTAATTACTGGATCAGACCTAAATTTCAATAGCCACATAAAAATCAATAAAACATCAACAGCTTTTTACCATCTGAAGAACATTGCCAAGTTAGAAAATATAGTTTCCAGGGCAGACTTGGAGATTTCTTGGTCCATTGCATTTGTCTCCAGCAGGCTAGACTATGCCATGGCCTGCTTACAGGTCTGTCCAAACAGACTGTAAGCAGCTGCAGTAACATCAAAGCAGCAGCTAGAGTCCTGACCAGAACCAGGAAGTATGGACCATATTAGTCCGGTCCTTCAGGTCTCTTCACTGGCTTCCTGTGGCTCAAAGAAATAGATTTTAAAACGGCTCTGCTTGTGTACAAGTCTCTCCATGGCCTTGCACCAGGGAAATACAAAAATTAGTGGACAACACCACAATTGTTGGTGTCTATGAACCGGCCCGGCGGACTCTGAGGAGCACAGGGACTGGCCTCCTGCTGGTCCCAGAGTGAGAACCAAACATGGGGAGTGGTTTCAGATCCATGCAGCTAAGATCTGGAACAATCTCCCTGAAAATGTGAGGGAGGAGTCTACTCTGTCCAATGATCAATCCAGGTTAAAGGACTGTTCTGTTTGCTGTGCATATAACTGAAGGATTTAATCTCCTTTTTAATGCACTGCTGTCAATTAATTTATTTTTTTTAAAATTTTCTTGTGTAATTTTGAAATTTTAATGTTATATTCTTTTGTGTGATTTTATTGTTTTAATTGTGTTTTAATCTTTTGTGAGATTTTAATGTTTTAATTGTGATTCTGGTGTTTGTTTTATGTGATTGATTTGTGATGTGACTGTGAAGCGCTTTGTGTTGCCCTGTGTATGAAAGGCGCCCTCCCCTCTACAAATAAACTTTTGATTGATTGATTGATATTAATAAAGGCACGTATTTACAATTGAGGGGTAGGGACTGCAAATGTAGGGTCAACCACGCCCAACAGCGACTAGGAGTGTTGACGGGTGCGGATCATGATGTTGTCACCCTGCGTGCCTTTACCGTGACTCGGAACCGTGGACAATAAACGTTGTAACACGGACTATTTTGTATTGGTCTGGTCATTTAGAGGTGCAACACGAATCTTGGTGTCTTCTGCTCGGTTGGAGATCGCAGGGAACGACGCTGTTTGTGGAAAAGAGCAGAGCTTGGGAGTTTACGCTACAAGCCCACCAGCTGCAGGCAGAGCGCATCAGCGCACTCACTGAGACTGGACAGCTGTTTTACCTGTACGCTCGTAAAAAACATTTACAAATTTTGTCTACTACAAGTCGGAAGATGTCGGAGAGTTGGGAGAATGAAATGGGACGGATTGAGAAAAATCTATATGACTTTGTCTGCTGCGGATGTATATGATCTTTGTTCAATCTAGGGAGCATCTGTGAGTGGAAGAGACAAGACCTACCTCGTGCAATGAGGGACTATCATACAGAATCTGGAAGGAGAAGATGTTGTCTCGCTCGAGGATGAAGTGATTATCGTTGTTGCGCATTGTTACTGACCGCATTGATGAAATAAAGAGTGTACCCTCTGCTACGCCTGCTGCGGCCAGCTGTCTCCCTCTGTGGATACAGCAGGTACAGCATCACTACCCAAAGTGCACTGCTGCACCACTAATTAGGTGCCGTTTCCAATGTTGACTATGACTCCATTTAATGCCAACCACCATTTGTGCACCACTTGTACAGGAAAAGAACTACGATAATGGGGACGAAGATTGGTGAACCACCATCAAAAGACAAACTGGATATTCCAGTTTGGAGAGTCAAATCCAAAAAGCACTAAATAAAGGTTACAGTGAGTCGGACAGAAACTGGTCTCCAGGGGAGACACCAATTCGTTTGTGTCAGAGCAATGGACTTATGACGGCAAATTTTATTGGCATCCGAAAGGCCGAAAGTGGACTCAAATACAGCCGGATTTAATTCCCAAAAAGATCAATTCTTGCAAACTGTACTTACGAGGCTGGATTGGACGACACCATAGAACTGATGTAAAGCCATATCTCCGAGATTCAAAGTGTCTGAAGTGCTGTTGGAGAAAGTTACAGATGATACACACTGGCAATGGAATGAAAAAACCAATTAGCGACCAAGTCAAGAGCAGTATAATTTCTGCAATTGGGGGAGGACTCTTACAATTAAACAGGGAGAGCACAAGCCCAACATCAACAAATAACAAGCCCAGTGAACCCCCCAAACGTGAGAATTGACTGGAAAAAGTGGATCAAGGCAATTAACGCAATATGTGAAGCTATACAACAACTGTCTACACAGCTCTCCAGCTCCAGCAAGCCCAAAGACCCCCACCACCACACAGATTCTAACCACCGGCCGGGCAGGAACTTCAGGAACGCCAGAGGACCCCCGGAATGGTGTCATCATTGCAAGATCACCATCCTAAAGGCAATGTAACCACAGTAATAAATGTGGCAGTTCTGACCACTGGGCTATTGGCTGTCGCTAAAGTCACTCATGTTTCAGCCTCGTCTAATAAAATTGACACTTTGGTACATCTTGGTAAGGACTGATGCCCAGTTCAACCCAGACAGCCCCTCTCAGATTCAGATTCATTTTAAGCCATGTTCGAGTATAAAAACTACATTGGAATACATTTGCAAAAAAGGTACTCTGTGTGCCGACAGACCAAATAGCACGATACAATGTAATATAAAATTACACATACACTGAAAAATAAAAGATAAAAAAAACAGCTGTTCACTGTGGCACGATCAACAAAAACGATACAAGGGGTAAAAGCAGGTATTAAAGTTCTTGTTTAGCGAGATGTTTGCAATCTCAGCGACCGATATCTTCTGCCAGAGCGAAGAAGTGGAACATGGCTTTCCTGGGGTGGCCAGAAGGAGTCCATTGATGATTTTAAGAGCTCTGTTTTAAAAGTCTGAGATTCATAAAGAACCTACAGAAACAGGAAGCTTACAGCCACAGTCCTCTTTGCCGAGCGAAGAACCTTGTTTAACGCTCTTTTCTTAATTGTGGATGTTACCGAACCACACAGTCACAGATCCAACAAGGTAAACTCTCAATGGGTGCATCGATAAAAGTTAAGCAGAATCTTTAGAGTTGTGGTAAATTCTCTAAGTTTCCGCAAAAAGAAGAGCCGCTGACGAGCTTAAATCACGGTGAACAAGGAGCTCTTGCAGCGACGCCCTGGGCACGGCGCCATCTTGGTAGTTTTCACTAGTACGCAAAGACAACCGCTAGCAGAGGGACGATATCCTGGTCAGAGGCGTCATTAAAATGAAGTGGATACGACTGTTAAGTGGGGGCAGTTGGCTCACAGGAGTCTATTATTGTTTAGAGTGGACTGGAAATAATATTATATTGGACTCTTACAATGTGTGGCTGTACAACACTAGGCTGGCTGCAATAGTGTTGAAAGTGTGTGCCCGTTAGGAACCCAAGGAGGAAGAGGGCAGCACGGCATCAAACACGCTCAGGGTACATGGGAGGGGGCACAAGGGGAGCTATGGGATCCACCGTGGACCTGAGCCATCTCTCTCCAGAACAGCGCAAAAGTCAAGCAGATGCTGAGAGAGGAGGAGGCACACGTGTTTGCCAAGGACGATTGGGACATGGATGTATTAAAGAATTCAAATGAACATTCAGTTAAAACACAACGTCCCAGTCCAAAGGTCTTATAACTCTATCGCACCGTTCCAGCTCTACCAGAAAGTAAAGGTCTCACATTCAAGATCTGCTGAGTAGAGGATGGCTTCAAAAGTCATGTCACACTATTCGTCACATACTGTATGTGTCAAAAAAAAGATGGAACCCTCCGTCTAATAATTACGTGTGGATTAAGACTGTTGAACCAAAAGACTTTGCCTGATCGCACCCCATCCCCCGGATCCCGGAAATTTAGGAAAATATGGGGGGCAAATCACGGGGCAACTCATGGTTCCACTGTACTGGATCAAGGCAAGGCATACCATCAGGATTTGTGCCATTGTGAGCAGAGCGCCCATCTAGGAAATCCGGACTTGGGCGAGGTGGAGAAGTGCGGTACTTGTCGTCACGGTGATAGGCGCGGCCATCATAGCGATCGTAGTCCTCCTCTTTGTACCGTGGCTTGACATCAGCCCAATCAGTTTTACGGTGAGGGGGGCTATCACCGAACGTGTAGCTCTCTCCAATGGGTAATGGGGAGCCTCTGTCACTATGGCGACGTGACTGATCTGGCGTGGGTGAATGCGCTTGAATCACTTCATCATCTTGTTCATCTTCTTCATCCTTTAATCCCGACTCCTGCAAGCGTCTTCTGAGGTTCTCCACTATGTCATTCCCGTTGCCTGGTCGAGTAGGAGAAACTTCTCTCTGATCCCTGGTAGGGCACTTAGAGTAGGCGGACGTGGGTCCCGGAAACCACTTGCTGCCGTCTGCTTACTGGTGGGTGCTGGTGTAGAGGTTTCCTTCTGGCGCTCAGGCAGTGACTGGGGGTGTGAGGATGCTGCAGGAGCACTTTGGATCATGTCTACAAGGCGTTGGACATCTCTAGACAGCTTCTGATTTTCCTCTCTCATGTTATGAATGGACCTGATAATCTCTGGAGAAGACAGCCGCTTAGTCTGGTCATCATAGGGTACGTGGTACCTCTCAGGGTAACTGACCTCGTAGTCCCGTAGATATTCTGGCGGCTTCCTGCTTCTCTGTGGGCGGTCCACCTCTCTGGATTCTCGCTCATATGGCCTGAACATATTGACTGCAGTGGTTGCGTAGATCCGGTGAAGGAGGACCAAAATTGTAGGAAGGACTGTATGCTGGTTTTAATGATAGGTCACAATCAACACAGGGGTCGGTTAGGACTTGAATTTATATGTTCAGGTGATTGTAGAGAGAGAGGTGAGAATGTCCACAGCCAGATGATTAGAACAGTGCCTTTAATTCAGACTTCAATCGTGCTTGTGGGCATGTGTGTGTGTGTGTGGTTTCCTACAAGACACACAGAAAAGAATACAAAATATATTACAAGTCTGTTCAGTATACAGGCAAGAATTACCTCTTAAACTAAGAACTAAATAATGCAATCAAACTTTAATATCCAGGATGTAATTAGGAAATTATATAAACTGAATGATAGCAGTACTAAGTGTGTTCTACGTTAATATATATATATAACAAGCCTTAATTGAAACCACGAGGCGCTTAGTAGGTTTAACATGCAAAGGGACACAACTTAAAACTGCACAAAACACGGTGAAACTACAACTTAAGGTAGAAAACATTACTACAATATGATGCACACAAGGTTACTCACGTTTATGGACGCACACAGCAATTGTTCACACAAACCCAAAGTCCGTGGCAGAGCCGATGCTATAGCTACATCTGAGCCGTGCTGCTGCCCTTTGTTGACACGCTAGTGCGCCCCTAGTGGTGCACCTCAATATTACGTGCAGAAACTAAACTATGCAGAACAACTATTAAACCTTTTTAGAGGCAGTCTTTAATACAATTAGTGCAGGTTTTTCAGTCTTATACAGTGACTTAAAGTGACTTGTTGTACAGTCTGACAGCGGTGGGGATAAAGGCCCTGTGGTAGCGCTCCTTACACTGAGGGTGCCTCAGCTCCTCCTCAGTCCTGTGCAGTGGGAGGTGTTGTTCATGATGGAGGTGGCTTTGACTAGCACCTCCTGTCCCTCACCTCCTCCACAGAGTCCAGGGGGCAGCCCAGAGTGGAGCTGGCCCTCCTGACCAGCTTGCAATTCTGCAACTTAAGAATGTCCACTGAACAATGTCACTTTACTTTATCTACTTGTTATCCTGCCCTTTATGTACAGTTTTTATCTCCGCTCTACTACAAATATATATTTTATTGTGAAAGACTGGTATTGAAGCATTTACAGCTAGTTAAAGGACTTCTCACTTACATTTTCTTTTCAAATCTCCCTCCAAATGGGCGTAGCCTGGAGGACCAAAGGGGACAGGTGGGGGGGGGGTGAATGTTGGGCGGGTCTAAGCTGTGATTGACACATGACATCAGCATTGGCTGTGACAGAGATGGAGAGTGATCAGAGACATATAGAGAGAGAGGAGGCAGACGGCGGCCCCCAGCCCTATCAATTTGAGGCTCGCAAGCTAGTGCCGCTAGTAGAGCTAGTGCTGTTAGCTAGCGGGCACCACCGGCAGCTGCCTCTCCTGCAGAATGGGGCCTGTTTCTGAATGCTATAGATTAGAGTGGAATAAAAAGTACGAGCTGCTTGTCACAGGAAGCCTTCCCATATTCCCACAGTAACCACTTATGTTGCTCTGCTTTTCTTCACACTTTTGTCTCTACAGTTTATGAACCCAGACCAAGATAAAGAATATGTTGTGGGGGTCATATAGTTATACAATTCTAAACTCTGCCACAGTAACCTGCGGCCACTGCACCTCCTTGTCCCCGAAGGCATTTTGAATAGAAATGATTCCCCAATGTGCACAAAAGAGACAGTAATTTAACACACGCTCAAACATAAAGTAGTATTTATTGTACACAAGTACAATAAACAATATACAATGCAATTTCACACAATATAGAACTAGTAATACTAACGAAAGCTAAATTCTGCTAACTAATCTAACAATAAAACTAACTAATGACTATACTACAATATTCAACAACAACGCTATTAACACTACACAATTATCTACGACACAAACAGCTGTGCTAATAAATTCTACCTAAATGCTATAACTAATCACAAACCTGACAATCGATGAAAATACTCTCTGTTTTTCCTTCTCCAACTCGTTACGGGGGCGTGAACGAGACTGGGCCGTTTATATAGCTCTGGGCGGCGGGGCTGCTGACGTCGGCCTTTGCTGCTGCGCCAATGGTGGCGCCAGATTCAAAACTCAAATGTAGTACTACATGTCGCCTGCAGATGGCGCCTCACAGACGGTTTTAGGCAGAAAGTTGATCAAGTGACAAAATTATGACCAGGATATGTACACAACACTATTGGACACTCATTTATACTGTTTATCAGCAAAAAACATTGGATTTGAGGGTGAGTTGCCCTTTAAGAAACATAGATACTTATTTTGTATATTTTGTGTGCTCCCTGTGTCTCTTACTACTGTCCTGTCTGTGCGCTGCAACACCGACATTTCATCACTGTGGGACGAATAAAGGATCTATTATCTTATCTTATGCTCTAGACCCAGGACTGAGGCTGTAGATCCAGGACTGAGGCTGTAGTTCCAGCACTGAGGCTGTAGACCCAGGACTGAGGCTGTAGATCCAGGACTGAGGCTGTAGACCCATGACTGAGGCTGTAGATCGAAGACTGAGGCTGTAGACCCATGACTGAGGCTGTAGACCCAGGACTGAGACTGTAGACCCAGGACTGAGGCTGTAGATTAGGACTGAGGCTGTAGACCCAGGACTGAGGCTGTAGACCCAAGACTGAGGCTGTAGACCCAGGACTGAGGCTGTAGACCCAGGACTGAGGCTGTAGATCGAAGACTGAGGCTGTAGATCCAGGACTGAGGCTGTAGATCCAGGACTGAGGCTGTAGATCCAGGACTGAGACTGTAGATCCAGGACTGAGGCTGTAGACCCAGGACTGAGGCTGTAGATCCAGGACTGAGGCTGTAGACCCAGGACTGAGGCTGTAGACCCAGGACTGAGGCTGTAGATTAGGACTGAGACTGTAGATCCAGGACTGAGGCTGTAGACCCAAGACTGAGGCTGTAGATTAGGACTGAGACTGTAGACCCAGGATGGAGGCTGTAGACCCAGGACTGAGGCTGTAGACCCAAGACTGAGGCTGTAGATCCAGGACTGAGGCTGTAGATTAGGACTGAGACTGTAGACCCAGGACTGAGGCTGTAGACCCAAGAGTGAGGCTGTAGACCCAGGACAGAGGCTGTAGACCCAAGACTGAGGCTGTAGATCCAGGACGGAGGCTGTAGAAGTGGCTCCTATACAGGGTGGGGGGTGTAGCCCACAGGTCAGGAGTAACCAGCTTTAATTGCAGAACACAATATTTGATGTTGAAAGAGAACTGTGTCATTTCTCACTTCTTTCACCATCAATGTCAAACACATTATAATTATTTGACGTGTCTTTGTTGTGTTTGTTGCAGATCTACAAAGTCCATCTACAGAATGGTGTTCTCCTGTGATCAGTGTGGAAAGACCTGCAGCTCTGCTTCTGATCTAAAGACCCACCACAGAACTCACTCTGGAGGAAAACCATACAAGTGTGATCTGTGTGGAACATGTTTTACTAGAAAACTAAGTCTCATGGTCCACAGCAGAATCCACACTGGAGAAAAACCCTTCAGCTGCGACGATTGTGATCAGAGTTTTAGACATGAGGGTACTCTCAAAGAACATCAGAGGATCCACACAGGAGAGAAACCATTTGAGTGTGACCAGTGTGAAAAAACATTTAGGAGAAAATACCATCTCACCCTACATCAGCATGTCCACACAGGAGAGAAACCTCACCAATGTGACCAGTGTGAAAAGACTTTTACACAATTATCTAACCTCACTGAGCACTACAAAATCCACACTGGAGATAAACCATTCGTCTGTGGAGACTGTGGGAAGACGTTTACTCAGTCTTCCACCTACAAAAAACATGAGAGAATCCACACTGGAGAAAAACCCTTCAGCTGTGACGATTGTGGTCAGAGTTTTTCTCACAGTGGTAATCTCAAAGATCATCAGAGAATCCACACTGGAAAAAAACCCTTCAGCTGTGACGATTGTGGTCAGAGTTTTTCTCACAGTGGTAATCTCAAAGTTCATCAGAGGATCCACACTGGAGAGAAACCATTTGTCTGTGAAAAGTGTGGAAAGTCTTTTACACGAAGGTCAAATCTTCTTCGACACATTAAAACCTGTAGAGAAGCAGCTCTGAAGCCTCTGGAACAAAGTGAAGGAGACAGAGCTGAGGCTGCATCCTGTGAGCCCAGAGTCAGACTCTACAGGATCTCACTTCAGTCCGTCCACAAGTGCTGAGACCACTGGATGTGTGCATCGTGTTTACTGTTTAATGTTGTTTATTGGACGTTCTGAAAATTCATTTATTGTTTTGTTTATTGTTATTGTTTTTTTATAAATTCAAATGTGTTGTTTGTGAACACATTAAAAGTTGACATTTTTCTTGCATCTGTCTTTGATTTTTTTCTGTGCTGGATTCTTAGTTTTCCTCTTCTACACTTTCTGTGCTTCACCTTTTGTTTCATATCAAGGGTTCACTTGTGCAAAGGTGGATTTCATAAAGTTAGAACAGAGAAACCCTCTTCCTTTAAAGGAGATGAGACTGTTGACTGTCTTTTCATGTTTTAGAATGATAAATAATAACTGTATAATCACTCCCTATGGAGAGAGACCAGAGGGAGGCTTTTGTTCTAAGATGAGATCAGAGGACCTTATTGGTCCACAGTGGGGAAATGTCGGTGTTGCAGCGCACAGACAGAAGGGAGAGCACACAACACTGAGAGAAATATCTGTAAATGCTTCTTCATAAGAGCAATAAGAAGTGTTTAAACCCACAGTAAAATGACTTCAGACTCTAAAGGCTCACAGGTACGATCACAGGTACGTTTACAGGTACGATCACAGGTACGTTCACAGGTACGTTCACAGGTACGATCACAGGTACGCTCACAGGTACATTCAAAGGTACGTTTACAGGTTGTAGCTCAGAGCAGGAAACATCCTCTTTTTATTAAGACGAACACATTGGCAGACCCAA